TTTTTTTTTTGTTTCTCGGTGAAATCACTCGCATGTTTATGAATTCCTCTGCTGAGTTCATTTCCATATCAGTTCTCTCTGCAGTTCACAGTGCATAGCAAATCAGCTCTGTGCTGAAAGTGGTTTATCCCTTCAGCAAATAGAAAAATATGCATTACAAAACATGTTGCAAATCTGGAAGTTCAAACTGAGCATATAATGGAAAAAAAGCATAGGTAGAGGTTACCTTCAGTAAAAACCGTTGTCGTTATGATCAATAGACTCAGACAGCCAAACTTCAATGTTAAACTTGGCTATCCTCAGGTATGCCTATGGATCTGTAAAGTGGTGGGGGGCCTTACTGACCAATAGGGAGGCAGATAGGAGACTGGGCATATAACTTTAGCTGCTTTTACCTGAATCTTAGGATAGCATTCCTACCAGGAGTGATAGAACTATGGGTCTCAGCATTATTATATTATATACCCAGCTGAGCTGCCTCTGATGCTTGTCAATGTAAACCAAGTACACCATATAGTAGGTAAAGGTAACCTCAGCACTGCAGCTGTGGTGAACTACAAATTCCATTATGCCTCTGGGAGTCATGCCTGTGGCTGTCGGGGTCTTGCAATGCTTCATGGGATTTGTTGTCTCACCACAGCTGAAGTGCCAAGGTTGCCTACCCCTGTACTATAGCATCTACATTCTTTGCAAGGCCCACCTATACATTTGTGTTGTAAGCAGCAAGCTTGTCGGGTAAAAGACAATAAAGAAACAATTCTTCAAAAAGACAGCCACTGTTTTAAAAATGTTACACGAAACAAATGTTATTGCATTTAAATTACCTTTGAAAACAGATGAAAACAAAATGTAAGAGTAGCTTCCTTGCAACTCTGGCGTTCTGAAGGTACAGAACACAACCAGAAATCTTTTACAGTATCTGTGTGTGGATACTGGTTTTATTAGAAGTCTGCACAGAGCTTGGAATCAAACTAAAGGCATCCCCTGAAATAGGGGTTTTATTGTCTGATCCTTTTCCAACTCTGATCAGACAGGTAGAATGACGACAGATCATTGCAATTAGCAGTAAGCGCGTTGGCAAGGGCTGCATCAAGATCTGAAGAGGATAAAAGAAACAATCTGCTATAAAACTTGCTTTTGTGTACAGTTTGCTGGGAGAGGATTTGTTTTACTGAAACTGAAGTTTAATTAGTAATTTCTTGTGTGCCTCTTCAATCCCGAGCACATGCTGTGTATGGAGGCTTCATCTTCAGTCCCATGCTATGCACCCTGACCATCACCATCCAGCTATCCACTATGAGAGCCCAGTCATTGCTTTGTCACATGACAGGGACATTAATATCATAACCAATATTTTCTGCTTTTTTCACCTGACAGCTACATTTAACATAATAACATATCTACCCCAATTTGTTTCCATTAAGCTTTATTTACAGAGACTGGAAACATATTCTATATTATTCCAGCAGAAAGAAATCCCTCCTGGGAACATTAAGTGCCACTTAGCTAGAACAGTGATATTCCATGAAGCAGGACAAGCTAATGTGAATTGGAAGTAAACAATCCAGTCTCCTGTATTATGTAATGGGTCAGTAAGATTGCTGTCTCCCTGGACTTAAACATTTTCCTATACACACTCAATGAAGGAGATCACTAGTTCTTATAAAGACAGGGCTGTAAGTTCACATTTATTTTTTCAAGGCATTGGATACAACATTACAATATCGTAACACAATATAAACATTTTTCATGGGGAGGTATTGATACATATCAAATGCTTGTATTGCTTATTTATATACATGCAGCACACACTGCACAGTTGTGATATATTATGTTATTATCCAGGATTTATATAGCCACAACAGTTTGCACAGCACTGTACAATATAAGGAAGACATTACAATCACAATACAATTCAAGACAAGGAGGAGGGCCCTGCCCTTTAGAGCTTACAATCTACAAGGGAGGGGCAAGTGATACAAGAGGTAGTTGCTATGTGGGGATGAAATGTTTGAGAAAGTGATAGTTCAGTGGTTAAGTTGAAGTGACATTCTACCAAGAGGTGAGTAGAGATCTGGATGGAGGGAGGCCGGTAGATGTGGTATATCTGGATTTTGCCAAAGCATTTGACACGGTGCCACATAAACGCTTAACACACAAGCTGAGATCTATGGGCATAGATGACATGGTGGGTACATGGATAGAGAACTGGCTACAAGAACGTGTCCAGAGAGTATCAATAAATGGCTCTTTTTCAGATTGGTGTAAGGTTGAGAGTGGAGTGCCTTGGGGTCCTGTGCTAGGCCCCATACTATTTTTAATCTGTTTATCAATGATATCGGGGAGGGTGTTAATAGCCATGTTTCTGTGTTTACTGATGATACTAAAATCGGGAAGGTAATAGACACAGACTTAGACACTATAACATTACAGGAGGACCTGGATAAAATAGGGGAGTGGGCATTAATGTGGCAGATGAGGATTAATGTTGAAAAATGTAAAGTAATGCATTTTGGGGTTAAAAATAGGCAAGCAGAATACACATTAATGGGAACTCCAATAGGAAAGTCAGAAGGAGGTCATAGTAGACCACAGATTAAATAATAGCTTGCAACGCCAGGCTGCAGCAGACAAAGCGAGCAGAGCAGTGGCATAACTAGTGACCCCAGGGCCCTGATGCAAAAATCCATGAAGGCCCCCCCCCCAAAGAAGAACCAACCCGCCCCGATTGGTGGGGCCGCTATACAATCAGCGGTAATTAAAAGAAAGCACCTGGACGAATATTTCGGTATTTTCGTCTGTGCATGTGCAGTGTAGATCGTACGAATTTTGATGTACGGAAACGCCGCCAACCATGCGAAAATCATATGATCGACCGAAGTTTTCTAACCTGCTGGCTAGTCAAAAGTCGATCGATTGTACAGTATTTGCGGTTGTACACTGCCCATCAACCTTACGAGTATCAGACGAAAACGCGATCGCATACGAAAATTGGCCGATATTCGTAAGGTGTATGTGCAGCTTTAGGCCTTGTTCACACCAAGCGCGTTCCAGGTGCAGAGCAGTTACAGACCGGAGCAAAACTGCGTCCAATGTATTCCAATGGTATTTTTAGCTCCAGTTCACACCGCAGCCTTCCGTTCCAGAGCAGGTAAAAAAACTGCAGCATGCCCTATTTTAACTGCTCTGTAAACGCTCTGGAACGCATGCAAACGCATCAGAAAAACGCATGAAAACGCCCAGGAACGCACTGAAAACCCATTTTAAACTAAAAATATATATATATGTTTTTTCTAACCAAAAACGGGCCAGAACGCATTAAAAACGCGGTACAACCCACTGCACTGCGTGTGCAGAAACTCATGCAGATCTGCTCTGCATTTGGTGTAAACAAGGCCTAAGAGGTAAACATTCCCACTGTAGGTGTTAAGCCGGCCACACACTGATAGAATTTCCACAGACACCTGTGAATTGGCCGAAATTCTAACTTTGGTTTGCCAGCTCCACTCGGCTTGGCAAACTTCGATTGAAAACTAAAGTCGGCAGGGGGAAAATGTTAGCCCGACAGTA